CCGCCCTGGCCTCGGGAGCCTCTCCCCGTCCGCGAACCACGCGCGGGCGGGGGGAGTTTGCGTGGGGTTGGAGGAGCGTTGCTTCCAGGTGATCGCACATCGGCGCCCGTGCGTGGTTTCCCTGCGCTTGTTGAGGTTTGTCGTGGAGCAGCCTTCACGTGCCTGTGCAAAAGCAAACTGTGCCTGTGCTGCTGAAGCCTTTCCCATCGGTCCTCTTTTTTCGAAGCCAGAGACGATGCTTGTTTCTGACTTTACTGCAATAAGGGCCAAATCCTTCATAAAGTTAAGAGAAGGATTTATTACAACGTATTCCTTTAAGACATCACTGCTTTATTTCTCAGTAAATCTCAGCAGTGCTTATGTTTCTTGTTCACAAGACGTGAAGCTTTTTGACTAAAGCAAGAGTCTACAAAATAAAGCTTTAAGTTTCTGAAGTAGTAGACCTACAGTTTAGCAACTTAGCCATGAATAAAATTGCATCCGCTTCCCAGTAAGTTATTTTGTTTTAGATATGTCTACCATTAGATATGTGTATCGAATGGTACTTTGTTTAATTTTTTCCCGTAGCTATGACTAGCTGACATGGGAGCATAGAATCAAGATAATTCTTTAACTAAGACTCCTGTATCGTTTTGGTAAAGGTAAAGCATTTGGTAAAGGCATGGCACATTCTGGCATATATAAATATTGGTGTGGACTGAGAGATAATGTAGTCTTTACTAAAGTTTTAGTAAAGGCATAAGAGATTTTCTGAAGATTTTCTCTGTGTTAAGTTATCAGATTTCTGATGTGAGGCATTATTCAGTTAATATTTATTTATGTATTTAAATACTGTCATAATCCCCCAAACATTTTTAATTTAATATTTTACAAGTAAAGAATGAAATGACGTGGATCAACTATGGATCAAATTCGGTGACTGATCTAATAACCTTTAGGTAAAGGCCTTATGATACTACGTGAACTGTGATGTGTAAAACCTTTGAATAAAAACAACTTGAAGTGTACAAAATGTTTCAGATATCATACTTTCCTTTGTGCCTTGCTATTCTGAATGAACAACGGCATTAATGTGTAATTTAGCCTTCTTCACTGAACAAACTTTTCTGCAGAACACTTCTTAAAGGGCAACTCAATATTGAAATCTGCTCAGCTTATAAAGTAGTAAAAGCTATAGGCCCCTGCCAGTTTTTGTAATTTTAATATCACATTTATATAAAGTTAAAAAGATGTCCCTTTTTTCTATAAAAAGATATGTATCAGAAAAAAGTTAAATATATATTTCAGAAAACACAAGACAGTACAAAAAACAACTGACTTTGGAATTATATTTCCAAATATTTAAAATAATAGAAAAACAGAGAAGAGCATTTTCTCTCTTTATTTTTAATGTTATTTGTCTTAAATAGTATAGGTAATAAGAATAGGTCAGATAGTCCATAGTCATTTAATTAAAAAATAGTGACTGTAGTCTCCTGCTTTGACCACCTCCTGACCTATGCTGCAATCCCTTTGTAGGTTGATGACAGTTGCTATCAGAGGACTGGACTCCTTACTAGAAAAGAGCTTTGAATTTACAATTTTCATTTCATCTGACCTATTCAAGGTAATTGACTGGTAGCGGATTTAATTGAAAAACTGTTAGGAATTTTGCATTGGTATTTATATTCATACTTCTGACTAATTATAAACAGTCATCTAAGAGCTCAGTCCTGCTGTTGAAGCTAGTTAAAATTTTGTCCCAGTAGGAATGATAAGATCAGGTTTTATCAATAGCTGCATTTTTTATTTTTCTCTTTTTCTGATATTAAAATTGTTTCAGGTAAGATAAACTATCTACATGGCAGTTATATGAGTATTCTTCAGTGCATGAGTACTGAAGTACATGACGCAGTACATGAGTAATCAGGTCATTCTGACTTGGGAGTTTCCTGGCGCTCTGGGTTGTCTGGTTACTCTGTTGTAAAAACAGGAATTTGTATGCTTAGGTCTCAATCATACGCCAACTGAAGTAAAAAAGAAAATTACATTGACTGCAGGATCAGGCCCTTACTCCTGATACACTGTATATGTACACTATTAGGCCTCATGATGCGATGAAGAAAGAACACTTGGATTTTTTCTGTATATTCTGAAGTATACTCCTGGTCTGATACTTTGGCATAAAAATTAATAGCACTGAATTGGTGAACTCTGAGCTTCAGCGCTATGGGCAACCAAATTCCTAGTAATTTTAATTTTCCAGAAATGAGAAGGGTATTACAACAGAAAGGTGGGTAGACAAAACAAAAAAAAATTTTTATATAGTTGTAAAATATAGACATTATGCATAAGAACAGACAGCATGAAATGGAGGAAGAGGAGAAAAACATAAAATGGAGGAGAGGATAAAACTGAGCTGGAGAATTACAAATGTAAAGAGACCACAGCTGCAGAAAAGACTAGTTATTTCAAGAAGGTTAGAAATGTACAGATACAGCATAATGACATGTTGCAGAAGTTTATTCTTTAACGTTCCCTGCCCATTTATAGCATTTTGAAATCTGTAAGTTTAAATCTACCTTAAAGGCAAAACAACTACTGAAGATTCATTGCAAGGTTACATGGCTTTTTTAAGTCCTTTGGTAATTTTCATCACAACATTTATATATTCAGTTCCCCCACTGGGCCTATCAGCCTGGCTTTTCTTTTCTTTTTTTTTTCTCTCTCTTTTTTTTCCCCAAATAGGGGGTGAGATTGGTTCCCAAATTGTCCAATTGGTGTTAGCTTTGTTTTGCTGCTTGGGCATAGCACTTATACCCCTTTCATTATAATTTCTAAGAGGAAGCTAAACTGTATATTGAAGAAAGAAAGTACAAAAGAAATGCATTAACATTTGAATATTAATTAATCAGTGAAATTAACTACTGCAGTCCACTCAGACTAGTATTTTTTAACACCATATGCTTTGCTGGTCAAAACAAAATAATGCAACATTTCAAAATGAAGGGACGAATCACTTAGCATGCGCGGAGCACGAATTCATAAAATTTAAGAGTTCAAATAACTATTTTGAAACGCCTCAGAATAGCATTTTGCCTTCTGTGTATTGCTGTCCACTAGGTTAGCAGATAATAACCTAAGACGAGATTTCTAGCATTGATTTTATGCAAAATAATTATTGACTTCAATAAGAGTTTCATCCACAGGTTAGTGGAATGCTCGTGGAGTCTTTCTTTTAAGTAAATAGTGAGCCTTCTGTATTATAAAGTGTGTTTTACTGAAGAAAATATTTGAAATAGGTAAGAATAGTAAAGAGTAAGAAATTATTTGCAACAAAATTCATTTCTTGATTCCTATCTGAAGAAAAACCTTGATACTCATGCATCAGTAACTGACATCAAAGAAAAGGAATACACGCACCCCAAAAGGCCGAGGAAAATTTCTCTCTAATCTCTAGCACAAAAATGAAACATAGCAAACAAAATACTGCCTTGAACCAAGCCATGCATGGGTTAGTAATTTGGTACGAATCTTGTAGACACCCTTCGTATCTGGTGAAAGTGCAGTACCTGTCACATGTTAAAAGAAAATTCATACTTCCAGATTTTTTTTTGTAAGTATAATTCCAATAAATACATTGTTTGGCTTTGGATAAGCTTTATTTCAATAAACATACTTCCTTTACTTGCAAATAATACTGGTTAACAGTTCTGCAGATTAACATTTTAATTAAATGAGAAAGCAGTTGATTTATTTCATTAACATAAAAACTATGGTAGCCGCATATACTTTTGATCAGGTATTTAACATTTTTATTCCAAGTTTAACCTGAAAACATATTTGCTGGCTAGGTAGTACTTTTGGAATTAAGTTATATTAATTTAAAAAACAGCTGGAAGGTCTTATCTATTAACATTTTGATTAGCTTCGTTTTGACTTGTTTGTATCTTCTCTTTGTCAAAACTTAAAATCGTTCGGTCTTCCCTTCATACATAAAAACAGGCATATATTCTTAGCTATAAGAAAAGCTTTTAAAAGAAGCTTACAGTTTTCACATTTAAATCATACTTATAAGCTATTAATGTTTCAGTCTTTATTTAAGTGCTTTAGGAATAGAGGTAACCAGAGAAGAACTTATAGTTCCTCTGACTTGTAACAATACAAGAAAATCTTATATTCCTTAAAAGTTCAATTTTTCCTTCATTTTATAAAAAAGAAAATCAGATCATTTAAAACCAAAACTGTCTAAAAATGTATTTGCATTTATATCTTATGTGCCAAATAAAATCCTACCTAGAATTTGTAGACCTCTATGGTTGCAAAAAAATTAGTAATAAATAAGTATGTAAGCAAGCTTTGTTACGATGTGCTACATAGTACATCCTCTCAGATAGTTTTGTCTTTCTGTCAGTTTTAAAACATTTTAAATCCTACAAATTAACTGAAACTGCTGTATTTACTACATTTTCAATCATTTTATTTTGGTCTCTGCTAGGGAAATAAAACTATGTAGTTCATAATATATTTGCTCTTTCTTAAGATAAAGCTCTAGTGTCTTTGACTAGATTTATGGAGAATTATAAATGAGGCCTACATAAAAGATGCACACCTTGAATGGTGAATGGCGAAATACAAAAAGATTCCCGCTGCTTGAGCAGAACTACTCAGGTACTTCTGTGTCTAGTCCTGCGTCACAGATGAATATAGTTTGTCATACTCACAAAACCAAGGCTAGGAAATGCTTTTTTTCGTGAGATTACATTTGTATTCTCTCCTTGTAGGCAACGTTTATTTGCAGTAGATTTTAGATTAATATTTATGCTACCTTTCAGATCAGCTGATGTAATTTACGGATATTTCAAAGTTGTACGTACAGTTCATGCTATTCAGGCAGCACTCAGATGCAAACGTTGCACACGGTACTCAAAGTTCCTTTACATTTAGCCTTACTTTGTAGATTTATTGCAAAACGTCTAATCTCTATGGGCTTTTAAAGCGTAAGCCAAACACATTTGAAGCTTGACAGTGTTTTAGGCAAGACTTTTTTGCATGTTTGTATGCCTAGTGCAAAGATTGTAGTCTCACTACCGGAAGCTTGTATGGAGGATATTATGCTCTATTGTCGAGAAGCATTCACGGTTTGTCACGTTAGTGCTGGAGATGTGTATAGAAGAGTAATTATTGTAAGCTGACATCCAGCAAATGTAAGTAAAAATAGATAAACC